GATCTGGAGCTCAGAGTCTGAAGCTCCCTCCCGATTGAAAACAACCGCGCCCTCCGCGCCGCCAGCCCGCTCCGTGCACACTCCGTACCTGAGAATTTCACTTCAGCACTGCGCCTCCTCTGAGTCTGGATATGATACTCTCTTTACTCCTAGTTGTAGAGTTTCCACTCAGCCAGCCCTCCTGTGTTTCTGGATGTTGTCCCTTCCCTGTTTCAAGCTTAATTTGAATTGGTTGTTCAAGGCAGCAATCTCCGGCGTTAACCTATGCCACCATCTTCGGTCTATAAACTGTATATTTTAAACAAAAGTCCTTCCTCCTATATCATGAATGTAGAATTTCTACCCAATTATAATCCCTGATAAGACTGGGGCTCTAGGTCCAACTATAAGATTTCCCACATTATTCAATTTTAAGGTTTCCCCCTAGAATAAATCCCCATGTGCGGAATAAACTACGGATGTTAATTAAAGACTTTAGGACAATGTTTGCACTTGAATTGTTTCTCCCCAGTATGAATTCCGATGTCAGGTAAGGCTTGCATACTGAGTAAGCTTTGTCATATTCTTTATATCTTCTCGGCTTTGATCCAGTAATAATTATCAGATGTTGTATAAGATACAAATAAGGATATACACTTTGACATATGCCTGATAATTTGTAAGACCTCATTTTATCATTCCTAATGTAGCTTCAACCATTGAAGCTTAAATCCTTAGATGAAAACTTCGTTAATGCTGTTTCTCTTTAGAATGATTCCTGAAATGTTGAGTGGGGTAGACCACAGGTTAAAGGCTTTCTTAGTTTTCTAGTGTAAGGCTTTCCTCCACTATAAAATCTCTGATGTTCAGTAAATTGTGAGCTATGGCCGTAACCGGTTTGGCTCAGTGGATAGAGCGTCGGCCTGCAGACCGAAGGGTCCCAGGTTCGATTCTGGTCAAGGGCACGTACCTTGGTTGCGGGCTCATCCCCAGTAGGGGGTGTGCAGGAGGCAGCTGATCGATGTTTCTAACTCTCTATCTCTCTCCCTTCCTCTCTGTAAAAAATCAATAAAATATATATTTTTTAAAAAAATTGTGAGCTATGTGTAAAGTCTGCAGCCAAACTCTACATTTGTAAGGACTGTCTTTAGTATGAGGTCTCTCAGGTACAGCAAGACATGAATGCCTTTTAAAGGCTTTTCTGTTTTTCACATTTGTAATGCTTCTTGCCAGTATCCATTCTGTGATGTTCAGTAAGTTCTCATAGCTGGTAAAGGACTTACGACACTCCTCACATCTGTAACTCTTCTCTCAAGTATGAATTCTGCTGTGCAGTAAGGCAGGAACACTGATGAAAGGCTGTTATATCCTCTACATTTATAAGGCTTCTCTCAAGTGTGAATTCTCTGATGCTTAGTAAGGGATGCGGACTGGCTAAAGGTTTTGCCAATCTCTACATTTATAAGGCTTCTCTGAAGTGTGAACTCTCATTGCCACATTCTCTACATTTATAAGGCTTCTCTCCAGTATGAATACGCTGATGACGATTAAGATCTGATGAGTAGCTAAAGCTTTTGCCACACACTTGACATTTATAAGGCTTCTCTCCAGAATGAACTCTCTGATGATTTTTAAGGTGTGAGAACCAACCAAAGGCTTTGCCACATTCTGTACATTTAAAAGGCTTCTCTCTAGAATGAGCTCTCTGATGATTTTTAAGGCGTGAGAACCGGTTAAAGGCTTTGCCACATGAGCTACATTTATAAACCTTATCTGCAGTATGAATTTTATGATGACGAGTAAGTTTTGAGGAATCACTGAAGGTTTTGCCACATTCTCTACATTTATAAGGCTTCTCTCCAGTATGAACTCTCTGATGTAGATTATGGGAGGAGGACCAGCTAAAAGCTTTGCCACATTCTCTACATTTATAAGGCTTCTCTCCAGTATGAACTCTCTGATGTAGATTAAGGGAGGAGGAATGGCTAAAGACATTGCCACATTCTCTACATTTGTAAGGCTTCTCTCCAGTATGAACTCTCTGATGCCCAATAAGGCTTGAGGGCCAGCGAAAGGCTTTGCCACATACTTTACATTTATAAGGCTTCTCTCCAGAATGAACTCTCTGATGATAAGTAAGGTGTGAGGGCCGGCTAAAGGCTTTACCACATTCTCTACATTTATAAGACTTCTCTCCAGAATGAACCTTCTGACGACTAAGGTAAAAGGAATTGATAAAGGCTTTGCCATATTTGCTACATTTATAAGGCTGATTTAGCATATAACCTGAAGGCCAATTCGATCTTTTACCAGAGTCTTTACATTTATAAGGTTTTTCTCCATTATGGATTTTTTTCATTTTATTTAGACTGAATATTTGACTGAAGACTCTCCCACATGGATTCCATTTGTAAGCCTCCTCTCTAGTATGAATATTTTCTTCTTCAGTGTAATTTGAAGACTGCTGAAAAGACCTGACACATTTACTCTCTTTGCGTGTCTTCTCCGCGATAGGAATAACCTGACATATATTGTGATTAGACATTCGGTCAAAGACTCTTCCGCTTTTATAATGGTCCTCTGCAAGTTCCCTTGTCCGATGATTAATACATGATTCTTGCTTAAACTTTTTCCAATGTTCAATCCATTGATAACTGCTATCTCCATTATGTGTACTCTGGTGATAATGGGAGATAGAAAGGCCTTTAGCCACAGTTATAATTTCATTAAACATGTACACTTGCTCCATAATACCATTTTGTTAGGTATTAAACCAAGATATTTGTATAAAAAAAGCTTTCCTAATATATTAAAATTATAGACAAAAAAAATAAGTACAAAACCATGTCAGAGGAAGAAGGATGAATCCTATTTTAAAAGACTGCCAAAATGCCAAGCCAGCATGTCTTAGTTGTTGAGCTTCGACATCTCAACAAGATCATGGTTCCATTTCCAGTGAGGACACAAGCCCTGATTTCAGAATCGGTCCCCCATGGGAGGCATGCAGGAGGCAGCCAAGGAATGATTCTCTCTATCACTGATATTTTCCTCTCCCTCATTGTCTTCCTCACACTCTGAAATCAATAAAAATATTTTTTTAATAAAAAAATCGTAAAAGATTGCCAAATAGAGCACATTTTAATTTTATAGGCATATTTTAAATCTATACATTTTAGAAATGATTGAATGAAAGTTTAATCTCACCCTACATTTTAAACAATTCAAATGATTATTTACTCTACAGACTATGTGAATTCCTAGTTTATCCAGATTTTCTGTCCAAAATGCTTAACAGTAAAAAGTTGTTTTCGACCCTCATGTGCACAAACACACAGATCTCCCAAAGTAAGTGACTTTAAATTGGGAGGTTTCTCAAATGCCTTAATACACGTGACCTTGTTAGGTAACAAGAATTTAAGTATAATAACTAGAGGCCCAGTGCATGATATCATGCAAGGGTGGGGTCCTATGGACTGGAGGGCGATAGCACAGTCCCGATTGGGATGGATGGGGACTAGCTAGACAGGGAAGGACCGCAGCCAGGGAGGTACCATTGGTAGATCAGCGTGTTTCTCCAGGGCGTGTCCAGCCTTCTCGCCCAGTACAGCCGGACCACAATAGCAAGCTAATCTACTGTTCGGAGCATCTGCCCCTGGTGGTTAGTTGCGCATCAGAGCGACTGGTTGAAGGGTCGACCAAATGGTTGATGGATTGGTCGGACACTTAGATTATGCTTTTATTATATTGGACTATTTCAGATTAGTTCTTTTTATATTAATATCTTCTGTTATCATCACATTCTTCCTCAAATTCAAAGGCTTTCATTATAAGAATACATTGTGAAAGCAACACCTTTTATACCTTACCAGTATTATTTCAGAGAATAAATCTTGTATTCCGGGCTTTGGCATAAAGGCATGGTTACCTTTACATGAAAGAGCTGAAAGAAAAGAAATATTTAGGTTTTGACAATCAGGTGAGTGCACTTTGAACTTACCAGCAAGTATTGACCGAATGACATTTTGGAGTACTACAAGAGCAAGTGAAGAATTCAAACAAAGCTCAAGACAGGTACAGTGAAGAAAACTCACATCAAAGAGGAGCAAAGAATTGCTTACATTTACCAATGATACCTGCTCAAACACCTTGAAACAAAATGGCAATATTATAAAAACACTGCCAATTCCCAGTTTCTTCGCTGGAG